ATCTGCCTTCTTCAGCCTCCGTGCTGGGATGCTAGCCACCACGTGCAGAGCCAACAGTTTCTTAATTAGTTTCCCTGCATTCAGTCTTGGACCTCACCAGTATAGTCTCTTTTCTTATTAAATCAAATACACACTCTAATATGCTGCAGAGGTTTCTTCATGATCTGGCACCTGAAAAATTCCCTTCCTCATCTCTTGCCCTTCCCCTCCTCACACGTTGTGCTCCAGCAACATTGGTCTGCTTCTGCTCCCTGTTCTTGTTTGACTTCTGCTCCTTAGCCTGTGCTATGTCCCCAGCCTGAAAAGCCTTGAGCCCCTGCCTCTCCTGCACACTCATTTTCACCTCTTTAGGCACAGCTTCACTTTCCCAGGAGGCTGGCACTGAATGAATCGCAACCGTTCTTTATGTTCTTTATCCTGGGGTGGTGCCTTTCATCTGCACTCCCTGGATGTGTCTCAAGCACTGCACTCACACTGCGTTGTGACTTTCTGTTTGCACATCTGCTTTGTCCACTGTTCTCTCCTGCTCTGTGAAAGCCTACATCTGTGTTATCTTTTAATCTCCAACATCTAACCTGTTACATGACATAATAGGTGCTCAACTAATATTTTTTTCAAAGAAATAAGGAGGAAAGAAGGATAGGAGGAAAGAGAGGAAAAAAAACAGGGAGGAAGAATCACTTTTAGAGTGAAAAAATATAACTTTCAAATAAAACTAGAAACACGAACACTTTGATTCTGTCTTGGTTAAAATGGAAAGAAACTGTAGGTCAGTATCAATTTGGTATCTTGAGAGCAAAATCCTATTACATCATGTACTGGTTATTAATAGAGAGGTGGGCTAAAAGATGTTTTTATTTCAGTAATCTCTGAAATACAAAGAATAGCAAAATCAGATAGGAGAGAAAATATAGTCTTTTATTTGAATTATACGAGCCATGACCAGTGCTGTGTTTCCTAAAAAGAATCAAGAAGGTTCTTAAGAAATTCACAAGTTCATTATGTACTTTTCTTTCTGTAATGGTTCTAAAAGTTAAAAGCAAATTATCTGGAACATAAACTTTAATATCAATGTATGTAAAACAAAGATTTGTTTATTTAATCTATAGAATACATTTGTTTTAGGGACTGGAATTTGCTGACTTTAATTGTAAATTAACCATTAATCTGATTCATCATTACATAAATTGTGTATTTGTTCATTATAGAAGTATTTTTTCATTACCAAAAATTATGGAGACTTCTGGATCTAGCTTTTCTCTCTGCCAGTGTATGCATAATAAAAATAAGAAGCTCCCTTAGCAGACTCAACCCTAAACATGATGAAAAGTTTAGTTTCCTTGAAAACATATTATCCCTTTTCTCAACCACACATTATTATCATGGATCCAGGTTTCTAAAGTGCATTGTTAAGGTCCAGTCTTTGTAGTCTCTGGATAGAAATGTCTTTCAGAGTCTGTAAGACTTCATTTATTTTTTTTATTTTTTTAAATGGAAAAAATCACACAAATAGTCTCTACTTTACTATGCCCTGAATTTCCCAAACATCAGGAAAAATTTGAAGCTGTTCCTTCATCCTATTTTCCATTTCAGTAATATTTTCCCCTTTCCTTTTAAGAGATTAAGGCTATTTTCTATTTCATGATTTGGCTGCTAATAACGAGACATTTAAGAACAGATTCCAAAGAAAGGTTACAAGGCCTGGGAGTAGGAGGCCCACATTCACTGTCTAATTATATCATCATGTACCCAAATGAAATCACTTCTTTCCAAGAAGCATGGCCATGTGATAGCCCAACTATTAGAGGAACAGGTAAATGTGACACCTTTGCAAACTGTGTGAAGGTGAGTACTGAACTTGGCAACCTATAGGAAGCAGAACTTGATTCTGTGGAACGTTCCCACTGTGGTCAGAAAATTTATGTACTCCCAAAATTTGTGTGTTGAAACCTATCTCTCAAGGTGATGGTATTAGGAGGTAAGGCATTTTGGAGGTAATTAGTTTATGAGAGCACCATCCTCATTAATGGGATTAGTGCCCTTATAAAAAAGCTTGAGGAACAATAAAAAAAGGACTCTTCGTTTAATAAAGGGTGCTTGGAGAACTGGCTAACTATATGCAGAAAACGGAAACTGGACCCCTTTCTTACATCTTACACAAAAATTAACTCAAGATGGATTAAAGAGTTAAATGTGAAACACAAAACTATAAAAAACCCTAGAAGAAAATCTAGGCAATACCATTCAGGACATAGACATGGGCAAAGATTTCATGAAAATGTCAAAAGCAATTGCAACAAAAGTAAAAATTGACAAATGGAATCTAATTAAACTAAATAACTTCTGCACAACAAAAGAAACTATCATCAGAGTGAAGAGACAACCTACAGAAAGAAAACTTTTGCAATCTATCCATCTGACAAACATCTAATGATTAGAATCTACAAGGAACTTAAACAAATTTACAAGAAAAAACAAACAACCCAATTAAAAAGCGGGCAAAGGACATGAACAGACACTTCTCAAAAGAAGACATTTATGAGATCAACAAACATGAAAAAAAGCTGAACATCACTGATCATTAGAGAAATGCAAATCAAACCCACAATGAGATACCATCTCATGCCAGTCAGAATGGCAATTATTAAAAAGTCAAGAAATAACAGATGCTGGCAAAGCTGTGGAAAAATAGGAACACTTTTATAATATACAGTTGGTGGGAATGTAAATTAGTTCAACCATTGTGGAAGACAGTGTGGCGATTCCTCAAAGACCTAGAACCAGAAATATCATTTGGCCCAGCAATTCCATGACTGGGCCTACACCCAAAGGAATATGAATTATTCTATTGTAAAGACACATACACACATGTGTTTATTGCAGCACTATTCACAATAGCAAATTCATGGCATCAACCCAAATGGCCATCAATGGTAGACTGGAAAAAGGAAATGCTGTACATGTACACCGTGGAATACTATGCAGTCATAACAATAAATGAGATTATGTCCTTTGTAGAGACATAGATGTAGCTGGAAGCCATTATCCTCAGCAAACTAACACAGGAACAGAAAATCAAACATTGCGTGTTCTCACTTACAAGTGGAAGCTGAACAGTGAGAGCACATGGACCCAGGGAGGGGAACAACAGACACTGGGGCCTGTCAGCAGGGGCAGGGAGTGGGTGGGGAGAGGGAGAGCATCAGGATAAATGCCTAATGCATACCGGGCTTTACACCTAGGTGATAGGTGCGGCAAATCACTATGGCACGTTTACCTATATAACAAACCTGCATATCCTGCACATGTATTCTGGGACCTAAAATAATTTTTTTTTAAGTACTCAAGTTTTTATAACCCAACTTTATTGAGACATAATTTACTTACAGTAAGTTCTACATATTTGAAATATCCAGTAGATGACTTTTGACAAAGATATAAACTATTTTCACCTCCTTCATTCCCCTTTACAGTCAATCTCCCTTTCACTCCCCGCTCCAGGCAACCACTCATCTGATTGTTCTCCCTGTAGGTTAACCTTGCCTGTTCTAGAATTTCATAATTAGAATCACACAGTATGTGCCCTTTTGTGTTTAACACGTCTCACTGAGCACAATGTGAGATTCACTCATACTGCATGCATCAGTAGGTTCCTTTACCACAATTTACTTACTATCCTCTTGATTGACATAAGGGTTGTTTAGAATTTTTGGCTAAGTAAAGCTCTTTTGAATGTTACTGGACTAGTTTTTTTTTTTTTTTTTTTTTTTTTTTTAAAATAATATTGCTCTGTAATCCAGGCTGGAGTGCAGTGTCACGATCTCAGCTCACAGCAATCTCCATCTTCTGGGTTCAAGCAGTTCTCGTACCTCAGCCTACCTAGTAGCTGAGACTACAGAGGTGCACCACCACACCTGGCTAATTTTTTTTTTTTTTTTTTGTATTTTTAGCAGGGATGTGGTTTCACCACGTTGGCCAGGCTGGTCTCGAACTCCTGACCTCAGGTGATCCATCCTCCTTAGTCTGCCAAAGTGCTGGGATTATAGGCATGAGCCACAGTACCCAGCCTGGACTAGAATTTTTAAGAACATTCGTTTCCATTTCTCTTGTGTAGATACCTCAGAATGGAACTGCAGAATCATCTCATAGGTTTGTAATCAACTTCACAAGAAATCTAATGTTTTCAAATCAGGCAACTCCATATTAAACACACAACAACAACGTACAAGAGATTCACCTGTGCCACGTCCACAGCAACAGTGGATACCACTTGGTATTTGAATTTAAGCCATTTTACTGGGGGTGAAAGTGGTATATCATTGTAGTTTTACCTGCATTTTCCTGATGACCTAATATTTCTGTGAATATGATTCTGCAACTTTTGGCCATTCTTATATCTTCTTTGTGAAGCATCATTTCAAATCTTTTGACCATATTACAATTGTCTTCTTGAGTTTTCATTGTTCTTTATATACTTTGTATACAAGTCCTTTCTTAGATATATAATAACATTACTTTCTTTTTGTCAAAAAAACAGGGCGACTTGAGAGGACCTCCTTGCCCTTTCCATCTTCCTTCCCGTGAGGACACGGCAACAAGGCCCCATCTGTGAGGAGCAGACCCTCATCAGACATTGAATCTGCTGGTGACTTGACCTTGGACTTCATTCATGTAAGCTTCAGAAATGTGAGCAATAAATGACCCAGTCTGCACTAATTTATTACAGCAGCCCAAACAGACTGAGACAGTTTGGTAGGTGAGTGGCATGACTGATCTGTGCTACCATGAGCTCAGACACCAAAAGGCAGATGGCAGGCTTCTTGCCGTGTGTTTATGTCCATTAGATGACCAGCCACAGTTATACCAATGATAGGCTATTCAGTTGGAAATGGCCTTAACAACAACAAAAAAGCCAGCTGCATTTCTAAGAACTCACCTCCTTAGTAGAAAAAAAGGATTAGCTTTACCATTCTCTCCTAGAATTAGTAGATTCTTTTTCATTAAACTTTTTTAATGGGTCTCAAAATTCTGTGACAAATTTTAGGTCAAGTTGCTTTCATTAAAAAGTACTGATTTTAAAAACTAATAACTTAAAACTGCCACATGCAAAAAAGAAAACCAAAGTGGTCCACAAAACATTCCTTTCCTCCTGAAGGTTTTACAATACATTGTTGTCATTACCCAGCCTTTTATTACTAAACTTAAATGGCCAATTGAAACAAACAGTTCTGAGACCGTTCTTCCACCACTGACTAAGACTGGGGTGGCAGGTCTTAGGGATAATATTCATTTAGCCTGCTGAGCTTTCTAGGCAGACCTGGGACCTTGCCAGCTCCAGCAGCCTTCTTGTTCACTGCTTTGATGACACCCACGGCAACTGTCCGTCTCATATCACTAATAGCAAAGTGACCCAGAGGTGGATATTCTGAGAAGCTCTCAACACACATGGGCTTGCCAGGAACCATATCAATGATGGAAGCATCACCAGACTTCAAGAATCTCGGGCCATCTTCCAGCTTCTTACCAGAATGGTGATCAACCTTTCCCTTTAGTTCAGCACACTTGCATGCAATGTGAGCCATGTGGCAATCCAGCACAGGGGCATAGCCAGCACTGATTTGGCCTGATGGCTCGGGATAATCACCTGAGCAGTGAAGCCAGCTGCTTCCATCAGTGGGTTGTTCTTGCTGTCACCAGCAATGACGCCATGACAAACATCCTTGACAGACGCATTCTTGACATTGAATCCCACATTGTCCCTGGAAGGAACTTCACTCAAAGCTTCATGGTGCATTTCGACAGAGTTTACTTAAGTTGTAATGTTGACTGGAGCAAAGGTGACCACCATACCAGGTTTGAGAACACCAGTCTCTACTCAGCCAACAGGAACAGTACCAATACCACCAATTTTGTAGACCTCCTGGAGAGGCAGGCACAAGTGCTTGTCAGTTGGATCAGTTGGTGGTAGGATGCAGTCCAGAGCCTCAGGCAGCGGGTTCCCCTGGCATTGCCATCCTTTCAAGTGGCTTTCCATCCCTTGAATCAAGGCATGTTAACACTTGGCTCCAGCATGCTGTCATGATTCCAACCAGAAATTGGCACAAATGCTACTGTGTTGGGGTTGTAGCCAATTTTCTTAATGTAAGTGCTGACTTCGTATTTCCTCATATCTATTCTAAGTGTTGGGTGGCTCAATGGAATCCATTTTGTTAACACCAACAATTAGTTGTTTCACTAGTATGTAAGCCAGAAGGGCATGCTCTCAGGTCTGCCCATTCTTGGAGATACCAGCTTCAAATTCACCAACACCATGGGCAACAATCAAAACAGCACAGTCAGCCTGAGATGTCACCATAATCATGCTTTTGGGGAAGTGTCTATGTCCTGGGGCATCAATGATAGTCATGTAGTACTTGCTGGTCTCGAATTTCCACAAGGAGATATCAATGGTGATACCATGTTCAAGCTCAGCTTTCAACTTATCCAAGACCCAGGCATACTTGAAGGAGCCCTTTCCCATCTCAGCAGCCTCCTTCTCAAATTTTTTCAATGGTTCTTTTGTTGATGCCACCACATTTGTAGATCACATGGCCCCAGTGGATCATTCTGGCAAGTGGTGGACTTGCCCAAATCTACATGTCCAATGACGACAATGTTGATATGAGTCTTTTCCTTTCCCGTTTTGGCTTTTAGGGGTAGTTTTCATGATAACTGTGTTCTGACGGCAAACCCATTGCAAAAAAGAGAATTAGTAGATTTTAAAGATGTCTTTGAGATGTCTCCTAGGGTTAAGAGTAAGAATAATATATTATTGCCTGCAGTTTATTGGGCCCTTACTGTATGCTGCACACTTTACATTTATTTTCTATATGAATCCCCCCAGTAACCTACTGAGTATTATTGTTTTTTTTTACCAGAAGGGTAAGGTTCTGTAAGTCCAATATATGAATTGCCGATCTGTCTGATTCCAAAGCCTGACATGACCTGTGGCGCTTGTCAGATTTCAAGCCAACCAGAAGCCAAGCCCATCTGTTGAGAGAGAAGGTGCTCCAGCCCAGCCAGCCTGAGGTATAAGCTTAGTCATCTGCACCAGAGCATGTAAAAGGCACTCCCAAATGCCTGCCACCAGGCCTGTGATGCCACTATTTGACATTAACTTTAGATTAAAGAGTACTTGCTCTAGGAAATCTCTTAAAAAGCAGATGCCCATGAGAAGGACTGCATTTTGTGCAGTCTTGCTCCCCTGAGAAGCAGATGGCCAGATAGGATTAGAAATGCAAGAGACTTATTAGGGGAAATGCCTGCTAAAAAGAAAGAGACCAGCTGGGCGTAGTGGCGCACGCTTGTAATCCCAGCACATTGGGAGGCTGAGGTGAGTGGATTGCTTGAGCTCAGGAGTTCCAGACCAGCCTGGGCCACATGAGGAAACCCCATCTCCACAAAAATTAGCCAAGCATGCTGATGCATGCCTGTAATCCCAGCTACTTGGGAGGCTGGGGTGGGAGAATTGCTTGAGCCCGGGAGGCAGAGGTTGCAGTGAGCCAAGATCGCACCACTGTACTTCAGCCTGGGTGACAGAGTGAGACCCCATCTCAAAAAATAAAAAGACAAAACTGCAAAAATGCAAGTATCTCACCTGTGAATGGAGAGCAGGAAGGAAGAAAAGTTGACCAGAAAGCATCTTGGCCGGCATCACAATTCTAAAATCATTTCAGCCTGGCCAATGGGGAGTGCCCAACCAAAGTCAGCACTCAAAGAGAGCATAGGGAGTGCTCAGTGGAGCATGTGGGGCCCACGTGTCTTCTCTGCTTCAATGTACAAAAGTGACCCTACCCTATCCTGCCTGCCAGGGACAATTACACCTGCCAAGATGGTGATTCCTTCTTTTGTCTGTTGGTCCCTGGACTCAAGGAATCTAACATGTCCTAGAGGCAGCTGCAGATGGGCCCCATCTGAATCCCTTGGCAAGGGTGTGTCCTTTTGGGGGATGAGAACCTCCACTACAGAGTCCAGAGTTGAGGAGATAAGAAGTGCAAAGTCCTCCAGTGGATCATGGGAAGCGATAGTGCAGGCACCCCCACTTCCACCCCTTGGTTCCCAGACTTGTGTATTCTTCCTACACAGCGCCAGAGAAGTGTCGGAGGACACGCCTATCCTTTCAGAGAATTGCTTCTCAGTGTAATCTTCAGCTGTGTCTGTGTATCCAGTAGGCTGCTCTTGTGTTCCATGATGAGGCGGTTGCTTCTAGATGGTACAATTCATGATATGATCAGTGGATTCCATGGCCCTGGGCTCCCACCAACACTCCCTTTGTCTAAAGCTGGTGCTCTGAACAGAGGCTAAGTCGTGTGGGAATACATGCGTCCTTCAGAGTGGCACTGGCTGAATCTGCAGACAGTAGACAGGTGATTCCAGGATACATCTGTTCATTCAGTAACATTTTCGGAACATTTATTTGATGCAGTACTCTATTCCAGGTTTGGAAATAGACAGATAAATCAGTACCTCCTGTCTCTGAAGATCTTCTGAATAGATAGATAAAGGAAAATAACAGCATACAACATGGCAAGGGCTTCACTTGGGTCTCTATGACAGCAGCAGGGAGGTCCTGGGCAGCAGGCTGGGGAGACAGGATGTTGGAGCTGAGTATTCCAGTGTGCAGAGAACTTATCCTGGTGGAAAAGGAGGGAGAGTTCATTTGCAGTTGAATGCAGCCAGTGTGGCTAAGTGCAGGTATGTGCCAGGAAGCTGGTGGAGCTGAGGTTTCTCAGGATGGGCAGGGAACAGGTCACTAGGAGTCTTTTCTGCCAGGGTGGCAGTTAGGGCTCTGTGTTGTGCCAGGAATAAACCCCTAAAATTGTTTAAACAGAGGAGTAATAATGAACAAATTACTTTTGGATTCCTGTAGCCACAATATGGAAGGCGAATTGAAAGCAAACCATGATGGAGGCACTGAGTAGGCAGAGTCGGGGGACTTGGTGACTATAGGTGTGAGGGAGAGAAGGGCCACAGCAACTTCAGGGCCGGGCAGATGGTGGTACCAGTCACTGCAATGGGGACAGAGGAAGGAAGAAGATTCATGACTGTGGGCTCAGATTTGAACACAGTGGCGACGAATGGTGAATTATTAAAATGTACAATGGAAAACTACACAGTCATAAAAAATGAAATTGTGTTCTTCACAACAACATGGATTAAGCTGGAGGCCATTATCCTAAGTGAATTACTCAGAAACAGAAAATCAAATACCACAGGAAGCTTTATTCTCTTTATTATTCCATATTGTGGCAGGAAAGACTCTGCTCCTGTTCTCTCCCCCGCTTTCTCTTTCTCTTTCTTTCTTTCAAAAGAAAGAAAGAAAAGACTCTGAAGCTGTAGATACAGATAATCAGAAGATGATCACCCCTACCTTCATGATTAACAGAAGGGCTGAACAATTGCGAGCCAATCCAACATTTTGAAGCCCTGAAGATGAGTATACTTTCAGATTTTGGGTGAATGCCATTCAGAGAATGTTTCCTTTGTGAAGGTGTCATTATAATAATGAATGTTTTGTGTTTGGGGAAGTGGTATAATATTTGGAATGTTCAGCTAAAGAAAAAAAGATTAGCAGCTAATTCTAATGACTTTTGGAGAACATGAGAATTTTAGTTTGAGTCTTTTTTTTCCTACCCCAAAGTCAAAGCAAGGGTGAGATAAGGAAAAATTGAAAACAAAAACTGGTAAGCTGGCTTGATTATAGTCATTACAAAATACTTGGGCACATATGTCAGAATTTTTAAAAGTGCTTTGACATACATTAGCTACATTATCTAATTTGACGTATATTATAAGCAAACCCATAGTGAAGGCAGGTTGGTTGTGACAGTCCTTCCTCCTGGTTTAAAGAAATGAGGACACTGAGGAGAGCTTCATCTTCAGCAGCCTTTGAGAGAATGCCCAAGCCAGGATTCTCTTTCTGGCATATAATGATTCTCCCTCTATTTTTCTTCCCTCCCTCCTTCCCTTGCTCCCTCTTTTCCTTTCCTTTTTCCTTCTTTTCTTCCTTCCTTCCTCCCTTCTTTGTATATAATGATTCTCCCTCCATCTCTTCCTTCCTTCTCCCCACCGCCTCCCTCCTTCCTATTTTCTTTCCTTCCTTTTTTCAGAGAAGCATAAATTTTCTACACCATATATTATATATCTATAAATATGTATATGTGTATATGTATAAGGTACTGAAACTAATAGATACATCATCTCTGCTCCCAAGTTACTCTGCCCTCAGACAGGCATTCTTCCTGGACTTCTGTATACAGGACGATGAGAAACAGAATATATGGTGGTTCAAGGCATGATCCCTACCTGGGTCCACTTACAGGCTCTTTGACTTTGGCCAGCTAATTAAACTTCGCGTGTTTTAGCTTCCTTTTTTGTAAATAATACCTCCCTCAGAGGGCTGTAGATGAGTTACTATCTGTAAAGCCCTTACCTGGCACTCAATAAGCTTTATATAAGTGTATTTAATAAATAAATGAGCTGGGTCAGTTGACTCCTGTGTGAGAGAAAGATTATACTTTATTCTCACTGCTCAGCGACTTGTTCACATAATTATAACTAATCTGCACAAACATGGGAGAAAGACATTTGCTTTATTGCTTCTCCTCTTTCCTCCATCTGGAAGAAATTCCATAGATGAAAGAAGGGTTTATGAAAACCAAATACATATCACCAAACATCTCTTCTAAGGGCTCAGGTCCAATGCCTACTTAAGGAAGAAAAGGCTGCCTTCTTCTTAGGGCGCACTCTGATTCAAATCCCCAGGGCATTCCATATCTGAAATGCTGAAAGTAATGAGTCCCAGAGATGGCCTTTTGAGATCACTGAGCTGATTTCATTCATTTATGCCATTTGGGTGGGTGGGAAGCTTTCACAGTCTGCCACCATTTCTTCCCAAGTGCTAGAGAAGAGAAATATTCATTCACTCATGACTATTTCTACTGACGTCACGAGGTCATGGCATGATGTTTTTCTTCTGTCCTTACAAGGAAATCTTCAAAACTTTCTTCAGATGAGGATCCAAAAATAGTGACAAGGAGAAAGGGTTGCCAAAGATATGTCCCTCTTTCCCCTTTTATTTCATTTATAGTAAAATCTTAAATCTGCGAGAGCTGCTTTGCAACGTTCCTCGCACTAAGACACTGTTTATATCAAGTGATAGTTCACGATGCATCGACTCCACAGCTCTGGGGTATCTTATGTTTCAATATGAACAGCGACTACTAGTCCTCTCTGTTCACTTACACTTACCAATAATTTTCCAGAAAGCTGTGCCACCTCTTTCTATCTCTGCCAAACGTCATGGGATTTCTAGTCTCTGAGAGAGGCAGCATGGGGTAAACACTCGAGGGGCTCCAAGGCAGAAGACGTGGGTTCAAGCTCTGAAATCACCTCTGTTTTCAAACGTTGGGAAAGTCATCTCCCTTCTGTGCTTCCTCACTTATAAAATGTGATGCCTCCCATTCGCTCCTCGCACAGCTGTTCAGAGGATCAAGCTAAACAATAATATAGAGCCACTCTAAAGATCTATTTAAAAATAAGTTACATTCATGCTTTCTGCACTTTCTTATATGTATATTTCACAACAAATAAGGCTAACCTAATTGAAACTGAAAAAATGTAACTATAGGACAATTACAAACCATTGTCAAATTTTCAAAGCAAAAGGTGCCTTATTGAAGTGTTAGTTGGCATTCTAACAATTTAAGTAAACAAATACATTTTATGTTTCATAAACACACACACACATGTGTTTGGCTAGAGTGTTAGACACATCAATGCCTTCAATTAGGCCATAAACTTTCGATTAAATATCTCTGAAATTTTAGAGCCTAGGATTCAGAAAACAGGTTGTTGTTTTTTCCCAAGCATGACATTTTGGCATGTTTCTTTCATTTATTTGTATCATTGTTTTGCTTTCTGAAGTGAGTCAAAAATAATGGTAGCTGCAATTAAGTTTGAGGCAGACTTTATTAGTTGTTTACCAAATATCCATCCTCTCCTCTATCAAATTAACTGAGGCCTGGTTTTTAGATGGGCACAGCATTACCCAGCTACAGCAGTACAACACTTAGCATTTCCCATTTTCTTTTACAGCTAGGTGTGGCCATCTGGCTATGTTCTGGTCAATGAGATGTAAGCAGGAGTGTTGTGTAGGATTTCCAGAAAGTTTCATAAAAGGAAGAAGTTGCGCTCCTCCCCCTTCACTTCTTCCACCCTGCTATTTGGGAAGTGGTTGAAATGGCTAAACTTGGACATGAAGAAGCAGGTCAGATCCTAGTGTTACCAGTGGGGGGTGTCCAGGTTCTTGGCATCTTGAACAAAGAATTGAACAAAATGCACTCCCATTGGTTACTTGGTGTACACCCCTATGGAAATACAGTAGTGGCCCATGATCAGTCTGATTGGTTGTGGGAGGGGACCAATCAGAGGCTGAATCAAAGTTTCAAAGTTACACCCTATGCAAACATCTGATTGGTTGTGGAAAGTGACCAATCAGAGGTTGAAATTACAAAGTTATATTCCTATGCAAATGAAGACTTGGCCTGTGACCAGTCTGATTGGTTGTGGGATGGGACCAATCAGAGATACTTTTAGTTTTTCATCTGCTACACAGAAAAGGGGGGTGTTGCAAAGGGAGTAGCTTCTGGTAATTTGGGGCATAGAAATTTGGGGTTTTCCTTTTGATTTAGGTCTAGGAAGTCAGCTGCAAATGGCCTTAGGTTCCCTGCCTCCAGACCCTATTCTCCTACCTCACTAGAAATGGACAAGGGTGAGGCAAGAGGGGCTTTGTATCCCTGGTGTCAATGAAGTCAACACAAACCCTCTACCACCTAGTTCTGGATTCTTATATGTGTGAAAGAATTAAGCAACTATCTGGTTTAACTTTTAGAAGAGGTGAGGAGAGGGTCTATGTTATTTACAGCTGAAATTAATTTTACCAAAAAAACATCAGTCTACTGACCCATCCATTTCCAAGACAAATTTGAATCTTTTACCTAAAGTTAGATGCCAAGGGATAAAATACATTGTCCAACATGATTACTTGGCAATTTACTGATGATTTTGTGATAAACCCCTACAATTTCTGATTTTTGGTTTTTGGCAAGCAACCATGACTGACACAAATAAAAGGCTGGACCATGTTAGCCAGAAAGAATAATCAGAGTGGCTTAAAAAAAATCTGTAGGGCAGTTGTGGTGGCTCATGCCTATAATCCCAGCACTTTGGGAAGCTGAGGTGGGCAGATCACTTGAGGTCAGGAGTTCGAGATCAGCCTGGCCAACATGGTGAAACCCTGTCTCTACTGAAAATACAAAAATTAGCTGGGCATAGTGGTATACACCTGTAATCCCAGCTACTCGGGAGGCTGAGGCAGGAGAATCACTTGAACCCAGGAGGCAGAGGTTGCAGTGAGCCCAGATCATGCCACTGCACTCCAGCCTGGGTGATAAAGCCAGACTCTGTCTTGAAAAAAAAAAAAATCTGTTTACAGGAACCATGGAACCATGAATCAGGCAGGACGACACTTCAGTTTCATGTCACTTGCTCATGGAAGCTCTGTCAACAGAAGCTGACAGAGTAGCCAGTTTCTCCTCACAGATCTGCTACAGATCCAGGGAGGTCACAGGAGGGCAGTGGAGGAGTGTGCACGGCCACATGGACCTGTAATTTTGTGAGCAGCCTTGAGGAAATTTAGCTGGACAGTGTTTGTACCTGTATTTGGAAACTAATGAGATGATCAGACACTCCATTCCTATTTATTGGATGAAGTGTCATTTTCTTCATTGATAGAATAGACAGTCTCTTTGGAAAGGTGCAATAAGCCCATCTTGCTCTCAGAAAATGGGATGCACTGCACAGTGCTCTTCTTCACTCACTGAGCAAGTATTTATGAGGCCCCTACTGTATATCAGACCACATATTACACCACTGGATGACCTTTGCTCATGCTATTCCCCTTTCTGGTGGGTAACCTCTTTGTATTCTGTCTTTGTCCAAGGCCAGTGTTTCTCAGAGGCCCAGGTCTGGTCTGAGAAGACTTCTTGGCCACCTGGGCCCTCAGTGATGGTTTCCCTCTGCCCAGGTTCCGGCAGCACTGAGCATCCACACAACCAATTGGGTGCTCAGCAAATGCGATGTTTGTTCTGCTGTCGAGTGAGTGCTTTGAGTTCAGAGACACACCATTGGTGCTTAATAAATGCTTGTGAGTCATGCTCACTTAGCTCTCTACTATTTATTTTAGTCAACGTGAATTGGCCATCTCTGGCATGCCTGATGCTATACTAAGCATCAGTGGGGAGAAAAGATGAATAAGACTCAGACTCGCAGACCAACTAGAGAAATAGAAGTGTGAAGTGGTTATTTTAATGCCACGTTATATATGCTATAGAAAAGAGGGTGGAGAAAGTGTTAGAGAAGAGGCTACTGATTTATCCTCAGAAAGTCAAAACAGATTTCCCAGAAACAGCAGAGTTCTGCTTGCTCTGGAAGTGGGAGGAAAGGCCAGGTGGGGGAGAGGGGTCATTCACACCAATTGCATCAATGGCCCTCTCAACCTCTTACAAAGTAGTCAGGGTCACTGCTATATCTCCTCTCTGTAGTTAAAGAAACTGGAAGCAAAACATGTCAGAGCCTTGCCCAGAAGTAAAGCAGGCCCGGAACCCAAGCTCTGGCTCCTAATCGGCTTCTCTTTCTACCATACCCAACTGTCTCCCTAAATAACATTAATGATCATGATTTCAGCTCTGGAGGAGGTCAGGTGTTTCTTATTTTCTCCATTAAAATGAGTCAAGAAGCCCAGTTCATTCAATTTATTGCATTTTCCCCTTCCGTTTTTCATAATTCTCTCATTTATGAGGCAAACGTTCTCAGTAATTCCCCTCCCAGGAATCTTCCCTAAGGAAATAATCCGAGAGGCAGACAGAGATTTATGTAGAAAAACTTTCATTGCAGAGCTATTTATAATAACAGAAAATAGGAAACAACCTAAATTTCCAATAAAAACAGATGAGTGGGCAGGCCCTAAACATCTTTCCATACAATTCTAATGAGATTTTTTTTAATGTTCATGATTAATGTTTTTGAAAAAAGACAGAATAAAGCCTCATGATCCAAATTTTGTTGTTGAATATGCATGTCTATATATGCATAGAAAAAAAGGCATACTCAGTGGGATGTTTACAGTGCTATTTTTGTATTACTTACATTTTCTTTCTTTTCTTTTTTCTTTCTTTCTTTCTTTCTTTCTTTTTTTCTTTTTTTTTTGGAGACCGAGTCTCACTCTGTTGCTCAGGCTAGAGTGCAGTGGCACAATCTCGGCTCACTGTAACCTCTGCCTCCTGGGTTCAAATGATTTTCTCACCTCAGCCTCCCAAGCTGGGACTACAGACATGTCACTGCATCCAGCTAATTTTTGTATTTTTAGTAGCGATGGAATTTCACCATGTTGCCCAGGCTGGTCTTGAACTCCTGAACCCAAGTGATCCTCCCACCTTGGCCTCCCACAGTGCTGAGATTACAGGTGTCAGCCACCATGTCCAGTCTATTGGTTTGTATTTTCTATGTTTTCCACAGTGTGTATTCCATCTTTGGGGGGGAAAAAAGCCAAACTGGTTTAATAAAATAGAAAAGTCATCAGGAGAGGAATGTAACAAAGACTGTATTCCCGTATTAGTTAGGGTTCTCCAGAGAAATCAAACGTGTGTGTGTGTGTGTGTGTATGTGTGTGTGTGTGTACAAAAAGAGAAAGAGGGGGAGAGATTATTTTATGGAATTTTAGAGAATTGGTTCTTGTAATTACGGGGACTGGAAAGTCAAATGGTGCAAGGCAGGCAGGCAAACTAGCGAACCAGAGTAGCGCTGCAGTTCCAGGCCGAGGGCAGTTAGCTGGCAGAATTCCCTCTTATTCAGGGAAGCTCAGTCTTTCCTGCTCAGGCCTTCAACTGACTGGGTAAGGCTCCCCACATTATAGAGAGGCATTTGCTTTACTCAAAGTCTACTTTAAGTGTTAACATAATCTAAAAAATACCTCCATAGAAACAAATAGAATAATGTTTGACCAAATATGTGGGTACTGTGGCCCAGTCAAGCTGACACATGAAATTAACCTGCAACTTTCTAAGCACCGAGGATTTCCCTTAAGATTTCTTCCCAGCAGACCTGACTGAGGACAGGGCTCTGTTCTTTTCTCCACTTCCCTGTTGCTCAGCAAAGGATGTGCCTCGTGTGAGATGTTCAGCCCATGTTGGATTGAGTAGATAGGTGAGTAAGGGAGTGAACTGCTAAGAGGATAGGCAACAATATTATAAAGTTATCGACTCAGAATGTCACAAATCTACAATCAGCATCCCTTAGCATGGGACACGGCCAACAACCTCAGTTTTCCTTTATACACCTCCCTATGAGGTCAGGCCCCGGCCACCACAGTTGCCCCAAACTCTATGCCGCTCATCTAATATTTTTTTATTTTTAAACACAAATCTTTTTGTTTTATGTATTTATTTATTTTTGAGACAGGGTCTTGCTCTGTCATCCAGGCTGGAGTGCAGTGGTATGATCTCAGCTCAGTGCAACCTCTGCTTCCTGGGCCCATGCCATCATCCCACGTAAGCCTCCCATGTACCTGGAATTACAGATGCACACCACCATGACCAGCTAATTGTTGTATTTTTGTAGAGACAAGGTTTTGCCAGGTTGCCCAGGCTAGTCTCAAACTCCTGGGCTCAAGTAATCTGCCAGCCACAGCCTCCCAAAATGCTGGGATTACAGGTATGAACCACCATGTCTGGCCCACCAATCTGTTTAGACCTACCAGACAGTTGCCCATAGCCCAGGAACCCCTGAAGACACCCAGTTCACCACAGTGGTGTTGCCTTTCCCTGAGCTGTGGTCAGTGAGAATCAAGAGTCCTTTGGGACCAGCAACGTGGGCCTCTGGGAGCTGCCTGAGGATAGGGCCCCCACTGGAAGGCCTCTATCGCTTCAGTCCAACTGGGTAGCAGTGGAAGCAGCTCTTTATTCTGAGCTACAGCTGGCCAGGGGTCTTTGGGGCTCAGCCCGAGGATAGCATCTGGCACCTCCAGCTACCATGCACTTCTCTCCCATCTTTGGATGTGGGCTTTTGTCCCCCTCGGGGTATCTTGTTTTATTGATTGACTCAACCCTTGTCTCAAGCTAGAATCTCTCTCGATACCACAGAGCCCCAGATCCTGTAACCCTCTGCTGTTCCGCCTCCCTCTGGAGGTTCAGAATGGCAGGATTCCAGGTTCCCAGTCAGTCTAGCAAGGAAAAAAAGTAGTAAAGACATTTCATTAGCTATAGTCACCAACATACAAAAGCCAGGAAACCCAGGAGGCCCAAAAAGTCATGAGAAAGAAGAAATAAGGAGCAAGATTTTTGTCCACCCCAGGAAGCAGGTCCTAAGATATCAGTTACTTCATAGGTAAATGCAGACACAAGTCTCCTGACTGAAAGGAGATAATGTCTTCATTTAGGGATGGGGATAGGAGCCACAGTCCATAGACCTCTGACCCTGCCAACCATTGTGGGAGGCAGGTCCAAGGTGGGTGAGGGAGCCGGGCATCTCCACATGGAGGAGTGGGCCTGGGAGATGAGCCTGTCCCTTTCTAAAGATAGTTGTGTTGACATGCAATCTGGATGGGTCAGTGTTACCTCTATACAGCAGGTGAGAAACATACCTGGTAGACACAGGTCCCAGAACACTAACAGCCTGCAAAGTCCAGGTCACAGATGCTACCTGATGTAACAATAACAGCATGCATTATAGAGCACTTACTATATGCCAGGTACTATTCCAAGCACATTGCATAGATAATCTCATTTAATCTTCACATTTCTATGAAGTGACTTTGACAATTCTCCCTACTTTATAACTAAGGAATCCGAGGTCTAGAGAGATGACTTGATTTGACTTGCCCAGAGAGTGGGACTCCATGGCAGCTTTGTGGTCTCACAACTGTCAATCTTGAACACACTCACACATGCACATGAACACTCACACATTCACATGCTCACACACTCAAATATGCTTATATATGCTCACACTCACACACACACACACACACACACACACATTTCTTGGGATGCCAAAGTCAGATACCTTTTCCTTCCTCCTCACCCACAAAAATGGCTTTCTTACCTTCTCAGTCCCAGCCTGAAGCCATTTTCTAATCCCTGTTTCTGTTCCACCTGGCCCCAGCATTCCAGTTGCAATTCTAAACAGCTGTATTCTAGCCTTGATGTTTCATTCTGTATGTTCCCTGCTGTGGGAGGCCCAGAAGTCTCCCCTCCCTGGGATAAACAGGTACTCTAAACCCATTAGTAACCCCTGGACACCTGCTTTTTTTATTTTGGCAGTGGCAGGACAGTGTGGAAGAGAAGCAGCTAAGCCCTAGATCAGAAACCAGCAGTCCACAACTCTTCCTTTAACCAAGAAAGCAGGCTCCCAAGCACAGGGTTCTTATCTCTAAACACAAGAACTTGGTCTCGGTGATCTCTAAAACATTAAAAATGGTGTTTCAATGGTCTCTTTCTAGGGGTGTAAGACTGGCCATTCTTCCTTTTTAACCACCATGCTTTCTCAGAGAACCTGATGGCCAGTCTCTGGGCAAGAACAAGACACAAGAAGATTTATTTTAGGAAATTGGCCACACACACACACACACACACACACACACACACACACACACACACATTCACAGTGTCCTTTGAGGCATAAAAAGAAAGATCTAAGCATTGACAGCGATGCATCTTTGCCAAGTCTCTCAGAGGAGGTTTCTGGTTAACAGGTTGGAATTCATTCCTCAATTCAGAACAACTTGTTCTTTTTCTTTCAGGATATTTGCAGAGGAAAATTTGGAACTACTAGCAGCCATGCAGCACACATAAAAATGGCATGAGATTAAATGACTAACCTCAAATCAATAAGAGTTTCCTGGGACCCAGCTTTGAGAGAGGTAAATATTTGTAGTTATCCATTCTGCGCATTAAAAAAGCATTAGAAAATCACCAAAGAGCACACACGCACAAAAATAGCTTCTGGGAGACAGACAAATGCCCAGAGGCATTGAGAAAGCTGAGTTGGAGTCATGGGGCCACATGGTGCTAGGGAAACCCCACACGGAGGTGGGGCACAGCTGGCTTCCCTCTGATGCACCATCCCAACTTTTGGAAGTAAGTGGCTGATCCTTAGAATGGTGAGTTTAGCGCAGCGAATCTCATCTCCTTTCAAACTTCGCTGGCATCTCCAAAACCAAGAGAGAAAATAAATTTGGCTAGAAGCTTGGCAGCCAGTGAGGTGGGTGGGGAGCTGATTGTCTGTCATTCTGACTGGCTGATTTCTCGCTTTGCAAAATCCTCCTTCCCAAGGTCAAATCCCCTGAAACTACATTTCCCAGCTTCACTTGCATCTAAACTACAGTAAGTAACTAATGCTAGCTGCATAACCTGTGTGTCCTTGTGAAAAACGGAAAATGTAGAGTCCCTCTTTCAAAAAGCAGGAGGGAAAGTGCTGTTAAAGGTACTAAAATAAAATTCATTTTAAAGATTTTATTACTTACAAAATGCACTATGGGATAATAGCAATGCATGAATAACAAATTTATAAATTGCAAATGAAGGGTACATTTGATATAATATGGCAAACAATATTGTTCTAACATTAATGTAACAATGTTATCTTGATCGATAAGATTTTTCTCACATACTTTTCTGCACATTCATTTATTAGGCCATGTAGTCTAGCAACATCATTCGTCATCAGCATAACTAAAAGTGATGTCAGTCCTTGGCATATGCAAGATCACAAATAATTTTTGATAATTCTTAATTTTGAGACTGGCTTTTCTGCAAAAGCCACCATTGCTTGAGTTCTTAAAAGTATTTTATAGTCTGACAATGTTGAGATGAATTTGTTAATTATTTTTGAAATACAAATTTTAGTACATCTAGAGCTGACAATTTTTGTAGAAGAAATTTTCTGAAAAGATTTAACTCTTCATACAAATCAGTTTTGGGTGAGTCTGAAGTTAGTTTTTGATGCAAATTTATACAGCAGCATTTTAATGTTTCCTCTCACATTTCCTGTAGCTTGTTGAAGTCATACAAAAAACTGAAAGTAACTCTATGATTTATATACAATTCAAGACGCCTGTTTATACATTCTATCATTGTATCTTCAATGGCAAGGAAAAACTAGTCATAAAATTATCTTCCTCGTTAGTACTGTATTTGGTTCATACAGAGCTTCATATGGAAATAAAGTTATTTTCCATTAAGTGTGATCATCAAAATTTAATTTTTGTTTCTAACCCTGTGGATATCTGCTTTGCAATGTTAGGACAATTTTTAATACCAGAGATCCGAAACTCTGAAAAATTCTGATAATTTCCTGATATGCTTTATTGCAACATGTCTGTGTACTTTTATTTTGTAATAATTTACCAAGTACTAGCAGAACTAGTGAGTGGTAGAGCAAGCATTCAGACCCAAAGCCTGGGCACTTAATCATTACGCTGCACCAAGCCTTCTTAATATGACATCAGATAACTCACCAAACCATGGTCTATACTGCATCACAGTTGTCCTGAATATCTGTTTGCTGTTTCCTTGACTAACATCTTTTCCACTGGGGTCCAGGTGCAGTGGCTCATCCCTGTAATCCCAGCATTTTGGGAGGCCAAGGCAGAAGGCTTACCTGAGGTCAGGAGTTCAAGACCAGCCTGGCCAACATGGTGCAACCCTGTCTCTACTAAAAATACAAAAATTAACAGGGGTAGTGGCATGTGCCTGTAGTCCTAGCTACTTGGGAGGCTGAAGCAGGAGAATGGCTTGAACCTGGGAGGCAGAGGTTGCGGTGAACCAAGATCACGCCACTGCACTCCAACCTGGGTGATAGAGTGAGACTCCATCTCAAAAACAAAACAAACAAAATATCTTTTCCACTGGGGAACTGCCTCTCCCCCACCTGGTGGGTTTTTCAGTCATGTGCCCTGACTCCCCAGGGAATGGGAAGTAGGGGACACAGGTCAGGCCAGAGTATTCCTCCTTTCTACACACAACAATGGGTCTGGGGACAAACTTTTGACCTAGGCAGGGTTATTCAGAGGGCACTTTGGAAGCTCAATAGGCACAAAAGGGTTTCTCCTAAGATTGTGACAATTGTATAAGCCAAACAGGGCTATTTTTTCTATCCAAATGGAAAAGGCCTATCTGAATAGGATGCTGGCATGGAAAAAAGCAGCGCTGAGAGACAGGTCTGATGATGCCATTTGAGCCCCTGGATTTCACTATTCTTGAAGCCTAATAAATGAGCCAATAAATTATTCTTTTTACCTATGCCAGTTTGAGTTGGTTTTCTGTCTCTAAACATATATTTTTTTAATTACAAATGTTCTTCATATAGTAGACAGGGTGACAGACTTGAGTCATACTTCCTGGCCACCAGCTGTCGTCTGCCTCTGTAACTGCTTGTGAAGACATGTACTCTGACCCAAACAGCTCCTCACCAGGGACTATCTCTCATCCATTATTTTCCACACCTGTTCACAACAGAGGCCACTTTGAGCAGGAATCACTGCTACAACCACTTACTCTATTCAAGCATCTTTTTTTTTGTTGTTTGTTTTGTTTTTGTTTTGAGACAGTCTCATTCTGTTGCCCAGACTAGAGATCAGTGATGTGATCTCAGCTCACTGCTACCTCCGTCTCCTAGGTTTAAGCAATTCTCCTGCCTCAATCTCCTGAGTAGCTAGGAGTACAGATACCTGCTGCCACGCTCAGCTAATTTATGTAGTATTTAGTAGAAACAGGATTTCACCATGTTGGCCAAGCTGGTCTCGAACTCCTGACCTCAGATGATCTGCCTGCCTCAGCCTCCCAAAGTGCTGGAATTACAGCTGTGAGCCACTGTGCCTGGCCTCATGCATCTTTCTCTTTACTTTTTCTCCCCAGCCATTCCTGACTCCCAAATGAACCTTGTAGATAGAGGTATAAAGAAAGAGATTCTTTTGAAATTTTAAGCTGTCTATACAATATCTGGTAGGTATAGAAATAACATGAAATATTGTGGATGATATGATTTATTGATTTTTTTTTTTTTTGAGACAGAGTCTCACTCTGTTGCCCAGGCTGGAGTGCAATGGCACGATCTCAGCTCACTGCAACCTCTGCCTCCTGGATTCAAGTAATTCTTTTGCCTCAGCCTCCTGAGTAGCTGGAATTACAGGCACATGCCATCGTGCCCAGGTAATTTTTGTATTTTTAGTAGAGACAGGGTTTCACCGTGTTGATCAGCCTGGTCTTGAACTCCTTACCTTGTGATCCACCCACCTCAGCCTCCCAAAGAGCTGGGATTACAGGCATGAGCCACTGTGCCCAGCCTAATTTATTTCAAATAATGTGATTTGGTTAATATAAGCATTTTGGATTTCTTCAGAAAGGTGGTACTAAAAGGTAACATGGAGATGATCTCTTTCAGGGTTAGCCAAGCATAGGGTGACCCCCACGGTTACAAAAGAGAGGATTTCACAGAGACATCGACATGGCATTAAATACTAGCAAATCAGAAACATACCAGTGTTTCCTGAAACTAATCAAGACAAAACATCAGACAACCAGAAATTTAGGGTCAATCTATAAAGTAACTAGGCCTGCCTTCTTCAAAATTGTCAACATTATGAAAGACAAGGAAAGACTGAGGAACTGTTCCAGGCTTAAAAAGACTAAAGAGACAGCACCAGTGAATGCAAACATGATCCGAAGTGGTTTTCATTCTGGGGGGAAAATGCTATCAATGATGATCTTGGGTCAGTTGACAAAATTGAATTATAGACTGCAGTCAGACAGAAGTACTGCACCAAAGCTAAATTTCCTGAATATGATCGTTATACTGTGGTTATAAAAGAGGATATCCTTGTTGTTAGGAATACATATTGAGTTATTCAAGGTATATTATATGCAACCTGCTTAAAGGTTCAGAAAAAAAAAACCAAGTATATATACAGAAAGGAAGAGAGCAGGGCACAGTGGCTCATGCCTGTAATCCTAGAACTTTGGGAAGCCTAGGTGGGAGGAACATCTGAGGTCAGAAGCTTCAGACCAGCCTGACCAACATGGTGAAACTCATCTCTACTAAAAATACAAAAATAAATAAATAGCCAGGCGTGGTGGCGTGTGCCTGTAGTCCCAGCTACTCAGGAGGCTGAGGCAGGAGAACCGCTTGAACACAGGAGGCAGAGGTTGCAGTATGCCGAGATTGTGTCACTGCACTCCAGCCTGGGCGACAGAGCAAAACTTCATCTCAAAAAAAAAAAAAAGAAGAAGAAGAAGAAAAATGAAAGGAAGGAAGGAAGGGACAAAGAAAGAAATGGCCAGAACTAGTAACTAGTAAATCTAATTAAAGATCTACAGGAGCTTTGTATGGTCCTTATGACTTTTCCCTACATTTGAAATCACTTGAAAGCAAAAGTTTTCTTTAAAAAGGTTTAGTCAGCCTTGTAAGTTTCTTTCAACCCTCAGGATTATATCAAAGAGAAAGCATCAGTTTGGGACTAAGGTATCTTTAACATGTTTCTAACTCTTGTTAATCTCCTTTTAATAAAGAGAGAGCATAGGCCTCAGGCTCCGTCTTTGGCAAGCAGCAGTTAGTAACATTGTTCGTTTTGTTTTCATTGTAGCTAGCACTTAATAACGTTGTTTTATTTTCATTGTATTTACTCTCGCGTTTGCTTTCTACTTATGGCAAGTAGTGTAGCATTCCTTGTATAATATGATGCAAAATTACGTTTTAAATAAATTTATATGATTTTAAAATGAGTTACTGTAAAGAAAATATTAATATAAAAGTACAGGTAATATTTGGAGGCTAAAGTACAGGTGAGTTTAATGGCAATTGCCTGACATTTAGGAAACACTAGTCTATTCTAAAAGACTTTATCCTAGAGTCAGGCAAACCAGAACTCTGAAAGTTAAGTGGCTTGCCCAAGATCACACAGTTCCTAGTGGTGGAGACAGTCCATTGTCCATTTTACCATAGCACATTGCTGTGACTCACATCACAAGAGTGCTAAGAGCCACAATGAGAAACAGCTCAAAGTGGAACCGTCTTACTATTTACACGTGCACACACGAGAAAACCAGTTATTCTTTTGCAAATCATGCTATTCGCAGCAAAATCAAGGCTCGCTGTTGGTTTAGGCCTTCAACACTGAAACAGTCTTGTTTCTTCTTTTTTCCCTTCCAGAGTGCCAATGGAATGGATGATGAGTCACTCCTATGTAGTTTATAGACAAATTCAAACCATTCTTTTTAAAAAGCACTCATTGTAGAGCACGGTGCTACATGCCTGTAGTCCCAGCCACTTGAAAGGCCAAATTGGGAGAATTGCTTGAGGACGGGAGTTTGAGACCAGCCAGGGCAACACAGCAAGACTTCCATCTCTAAAAAGTAAAAATAAAACAATTTGTCACCAATTATAAAAATTCAAAAATAAAAATAAACCATTTTTTTTAAATATTTAGGTAAAAAGCACTGACAATCACAGAGTTCTGGAAGCTTGGAAGAACAGCTAATTCCATCTTGTAAATAGTTTCAGAAATAGCTGAGGGAAGCACAGCTGGGTTTTTATGTGTTCCAGGCACTGGTCCTGCGTCCCAGTTCTCATGCTTACAATTCCTGGAGCTGGCAGTTCAAATATTTTCTTTTTTCTCCAATCTTCTTGTTCTCTCAACGCCATTTTCCATAAATCTATAGGTAGATTTTATGTGGTCTTCAGTGAAAAATTAGAACTGCTGGGTGAGTGCTAATGGGATGTCTGAGCTAGCCCTTTTGCTACTGCCAGTCAAGGACTTCAACTCGTAAACTCACTAGCAAGAGGAGAATCCACCCTGCTTAGGAGGGTGCCAGAGAAGGGCATTCTACAACTTCTAGACACTCATTCTAGCTGGCAGGACAGTTTTCTTCCTGCTAATTGAATCCACCCAACCAAGAGTGCATGGCCATCTCTCTTTGTTCCCTTCTCTGTGGACAGCAATGGCCTCCTGTTACAGGCTTGAAGATTATTCCCAAACTTCCCCTTGACTTTTTCTCTCCAAAATGACCTCTTCCTAGTTTTTCCATCTTCATGCAAAAATAACATCTACCAATCTACTTTTTTATCTTGGTGGCTTACCTCTGAGTTTTGTTTCTTTCTTTCTTTCTTTGTTTCTTTCTTTCTTTCTTTCTTCCTTCCTTCCTTCCTTCCTTCCTTCCTTCCTTCCTTCCTTCCTCTCTCTCTCTCTCTCTCTCTCTTTCTTTCTTTCTTTCTTAGACAGAGTCTTGCTCTGTTGCCCAGGCTGGAGTGCAGTGGCGTGATCTTGATTCACTGTAACCTCCACCCCATGGGCTCAAGCGATCACCCTGCTTCAGCCTCCCAAGTAGCTGGAATTACAGGCATACACCACCACACCTGGCCACCTCTGAGTTTTCATCTTACTTTTTCCTGTCACTCATAAGTTGTTGACTCCAGAGCAGGGCACAATATTTTGAGGGTGTCTGCAGTCAGTGCAAAAACACCCAACAACCCTGCTTCCTTGGCAGGCCCAAATGCCTTAGGGCCTGTGGGGTTCTCCTGGATTCTCCAGGCCCAAGCAAATCTGTTCGGAGGCCTGTGGAGTCCTAGCATACCTCTGATTCTTCACGTTCCATCCACACACATTTTAGGTCAGAAATGGTGGAGAAGGGACCTCAGAGACAGACCCTCTAACCTCTTAAATGGAAAGTCCAGTTTAGCACTAAGGTCATGCAGGGGTTCCCAACTTTTTTGGCACCAGGGACCAGTTTCATAGAAGACAGTTTTTCTACAGACATGGGTGGTGGATGTGGGAGATCGTTTTGGGATGACACTGTTCTACCTCAGGCCATTAGGCATTAGGTTCTCATAAGGAGCACACAGCCTACATCCCCCCATGTGCAGTTCACAATATGGTTCATGCTCTGTGAGAATCTAATGCCACTGCTCATCTGACAGGAGGCGGAGCTCAGGTGGTAATGCTAACTCACCCGCTGCCCACTTGCTGTGCGGTCCAGTTCCTAACAGGTCACAGAACAATACCTGTCCGTGGCCTGGGGGTGGGAAACCCCTGATCTAGAGGCCAACTAAAAGCTTAACCAGGTCCTAAACCCCCACAGAAGAACAAACTAACTAATTAATTTTTAGGGGAAATCAGATACACAGATCACCCTGCGACTTGCCCAATTGTTTTTGTTTTTTTTTTTCTGGAAGACTCAGTGTTATTAAAATACTGATTCTTCTCAACTTGATGTACAAATCAATGCCATTACAACTGATTCTAAAAGTCACAGGGAAATGCAAAGTATATAGAAGGATCAGATCAACTTTGAAAAGGAAGAATCATACTGGGACTTGCACTCCCTGACATTAGGACTTGCAAGCAACCTTCATGGAGACAGTGTGGTATTTTTCTAGGTGGATAGGAAGTAGAATTTATTGGTGAGTATTAAGAGGGGGCAGCATAGTGGAAGCTCATGAGTGCAGGGCTGCCACTTGCCCTGCTCACCTGGCAGTGGTGTGAGAATGATTCACATAGGGTGACACTCTGAAAGCTGGCAAAGCCAAGGGATGTCAGAGGATGGTAGGGAGAGCAGGTCCTAAGAACAAGCTTTGACGCAGTCTGTCTCTGACCACAATTGGGGATGTACATGACCCCACAGCCATCTGGGATGAGTCGCTTCTCAGCCACCATGTCTTCAAATTAATCGGCATTGAACTCTGTGAAGTCCCACTTCTTTGAGATGTGGATCTTCGGGCTTTGCCCAGCTCTTCCCAAAGCCATCCAGTCATCCAAGGCTCTGTGCAGAACGGTTTTAGGGGTACTGAGAGATCACAGAGAGATGCCCCTCTCCCCAGCATCATGGAAGAAATCGTATGCTGTGTCTAAATTTCAATTTCTTTAACACATTTGAGCTCCATTTATAACACTTGCCCTGCCCACCTGGCAGTGGTGTGAGAATGAGTCACATAGGGTGACACTCTGAAAGCTGGCAAAGCTGAGGGATGACAGAGGAGGGTGGGGGGAGCAGGTCCTAAAAGTAAGCTTTGGCACAGTCTGTCTCTGAGCTGACAGAACTCCTCCAGAATTCTGGATGTGCTTCTGTTCAGCCATGGCCTTGGACCCGACATCTATGTAAGAACTCATGTAAAAGGCAAATGTGAAGGAGTCATTGCGGAAACCTGTGGTTTGCCATATTTCAAAGCCATAGCCTCCCTGGCCACCATGGGCACATCGCGTGCACGAACCCACTCCTCAATACCTCTCAGCAAGTGTGGTTGCACCAAGCAGTGAGTGTGGAGAAGAGTGGCAGAGTCTCAACACTGTCCCAGCCCTGGACTGTCACTGAGGTCAGCAGCAGGTTGGCCACCTGGGCAAGTTCAAGAACTCAGATTCAAAGCTTCCATATTCTGGCTGAGCACGGTGGCTCACTCCTGTAAGCCCAGCACTTTGGGAGGCCGAGGCAGGTGGATCACTTGAGGCCAGGAGTTTGAGATCAGCCTAGCCAACATGTTGAAACCGCACCTCTACTAAAAATACAAAAATTAGCCAAGCGTGGTGGTGCACGCCTGTAATCCCAGCTACTCAGGGGCTAAGACAGGAGACTCGCTTAAACCAAGGAAGTGCAGGTTGTAGTGAGCTGAGATCATGCCACTGCACTTCAGCTTGGGGGGCAGAGCAAGACTCGGTCAAAAAAAAAAAAAAAAAAAACCTTCCATATTTCATCGGGGACTGAAGGGGTAGTTGTCAAATGGCTGCATATTGAACAATCTACCCAAATGGTGGGAAGGTTATTCTCTCAGCAGTTTTATGATGGTTGCTGGAAGTCAGTGAGTCTAGACTTCTCATCTATGTGGGGAAACTGAGGCCCAGAAAGGGGGTGATTGGTTCAAGGTCAGACACATGGCAGAGCCAGGTCTGGACCTGGCCTCTCTTTCCTTGGCCATTTGGGCTCTCCTTTGGAAATTCTAGAGCATCGGCCCACTAAACAGGGTGAGAGGGAGTCCTCCATCTCTCTCTTTGACATCTGACAGATGGGGCACGTCAGCTGCCGTTTTCTGGTTTAGCTCAGGTGGCAAAGGCAGGAGAGAGAAGTGGTTTTCTGGTTCAGCTCAGATGCTGAAGACAAGGGAGGGACGTGGGAGGGAGGGTTGAACATTGTGTGTGTACATTTCACTTCTTTCTTTGCATGTTGGTTAACATTTAACAATGTGTTACCTCTTCACAGAGTCATTTATATCATTTGCAGGAGGCCAAGAATGACACCAACATCTATTAAAACCTAACGTTTCATGTTCTTCGTTGTAAACACTCCCATTGCTTAGTTTCCAGATATAAACGCAAAGTCATTCTCAAGATGGATGGTTTGTTTCCAAGAAAGTTGGTGTGACTGTAAATGAAATTTACCTAATTAATCTCCCTAAGAGAGAAGGAATCTGATGATAACTGTTAATAAAGACCTCGATGTTTTTCTTGTAATCAGAGCAAGGCAATCTACAGATTCGTTGTGGGAGAGACCATAACTTTCCAAATAAATCCTAGTAAAGCTTTGCAGACAGGGCACTTGAGTTGCTTCCCCACTTGGCTGGCTTGCTTTCAGCCTCTGAGCCCTGTACAAACTTCTCCAGAACTCTGGATGTGTTTCTATTCGCCCATGGCCTTGGACCCAGTATCTATGAAAGAACTCATCGAAAAGGTGAATGAGTCACGGAGGATACCCGTGGTCTGCCCTATTTCAACGCCATCCCCTTCCTGGCCACCATCAGCATGTCATGTGCATGGACCCACTCCTCAATACCTACTCAGCAGTTTGGTTGCACCAAGCAGTAAGTGTGGAGCAGAGCGGCAGGTGCCGTTTGCCAGGGGCTTCCTTGAGGACCAGTAAAGCCATCCACACATATATAACCAAGAATTTCTCCTTGCAAAGGAGCAAAGTTTGTCACACCAGTGTATACGAGGCCATACTGGGAAGTAACGAGAACACTTCCCCTGTCTCCTGGTCCTGAGGTCAAGTGTGCCACAGGAGAAGTGGCACCTACAGGGAAGAGCTTTGTGAGAGATACCACTCTGTAAAGAGGTTGAAGGAGTGCTGGCGGTTATTAACCCTGGAACTGGGGATCGAACAGATACACAGGGAATCACTGGGTGGAAGCCTGGGAAGGATGTGTCAGAGCAGTACGGCAGAGTTTGAGAAGTTATAAAGGTCAGGGATGCTGCAGGAATCCAATTTTCAAGGATGGGGCAGCCAGTCATGAAGACAAGTACCCAAGGGTAACTGGATCCTCAGCCCCTGAAAACAGAGCTGAATCTGTTTAAGTCCTTACTGATTCAGGACATGAGCAGATGGGGAAGGGAGGTGGGTCTGAGTTTGCAGTTGGCAAGTGGGATAAAAGATATCAAGGCAGGTAACATGCTAAACTTGACATTATTTCAGCAAACAAGGCCATAAACAGTCCCAGGCCACCAGTGACCTGAGTGGAATTTTCAAGAACAGAAGCCCTCCACCATCCCTCCCCATCCCCCATTCCATCAATGGAAGAATGTTGATTCATTCACACTTACCTTTTACATGTGTTCTTATATAGCCATCAGGTCCAAGGGCATGGGTGAATAGAAACACATCAGGAGGTTCTAGAGAAGTTTACAGGCCTTGGTATGATAACATTCTGGAGAGATTCAACCCTAAAAATTCATGGTGGTCATTTAGTGCTGTGGGGCTCCACTACCCTCGTAAGGGATCTGGAATCTGGAACTGGGCTCAGCCTTCATTATAATTGCTGGTTTGATCATTTGTGCCCCATGTTGGATTTGTAAGCTCCCCAAGGGCAGGGGGCAAATAGATCTATATCTATAAATCAATTTCTGATACAATGCTGGCATAGAGTTGGCACTCAAGAAATATTTGAATGAATGACTAACGGTGGCAGACAGCACAGCTATACTCAAGCATTGCCTTCCTCCTTCCTCATATCACATCCCTGAGCCCAACAGCTTTGGGGTTGGCCATGTGACTTGCTTTGGCCAGTGGGATACAAGGGGTCATGACACAGGCTCGCCTGAGCAGCAGTCTGGGGTGAGTGCGTGCCGTGGCTCCGCCTCTTGCACTGCTGCTCTCTGCCAAGGCTGTCTGCTGCTCCTGTAGACTGCGTTCCAGAAGGAGAAGATTCGAGAAGACATGAAAAGCAGATTCAGAGTTGGCCCGCAGCCTGGAGCAGAGCTGTAGTCCATCTGCTCTCGAGTGGTGTGACGGAGACATGAGGATTTGCTCTTGGGAAACAGATTTGGGAGTTATTTGTCACCACGGCAAAAGCCCTGACCTTGGAGGAACAAGGCCTCTTCTATTCAATTTCACCCACATGCTGGCACAGTGCCTTCAGTTTCTTTGTTTTGCCAAAGCCAAGAGCAGATGGCAAACCTTGTACCACCTAGAAAGCAGCCTTTTTGCTGTCTTCTCCCAAAGAACACACAGAGAGTTTCTTCCACCCCAGAGAAACCTAATGGTTAACTGTCAAGGGTGCTTAAAGTGAAAAGTGGTCTGACAGCAAGTTTACATATTATATTTTAAACATTTACACAGTTTTAAAATAAATGCAAGCCTGAGGCCCTCCCTTTCTTCACCTGCCAGTGAAACATGTTCTCTCCAGTTCTGCAAAAAGCCAGAGCCTCACTTGGGTGCTAGAAGTAGAGTATTACGTAGAATCTGCCAACGATCTGGTTGAAATCTCAAGGCATTCACTCCACACCAGTCTTTGATTTACCTTGAAAAGAACTTTGAGTATAAAATGTGCATGGGACTTTGGGCACAAGAAAAGACAAAACAAAAGAATCCTGGAAACACTGGATCTTTTGCTCAGTTCTAATATTACTCACTGAAGTTGTCTGTATGATATTACCTTTCGATGAAAAGTAAAAAGCAAATGCAGTCAGATCTATGAGTTACTAAACAGCCAAATATTTGGAAATGACTCAATGGTTGGCATTTTCATCAGAGTCCGTGATGATGTCCACCCTCACAGCCTCAGCCTGCACAGATATTCTGATAATTCCAGATTCTGCATTCCCACCTTGGCTTTTCTCCTGATAGCCGCTTGATTGTCACAACACTTCAGAATTCCCACCTGAAATTCAACTTTGGGCTGAGTGCAGTGGCTCAAACCTGTAATCCCAGCACTTTGGGAGACCGAGGCACAAGGAGTTCAAGACCAGCCTGGGAACATGGTGAAACCTCATCTCTACAAAGAATAAAATTAGCTGCGCAGAGGGGTGCATGCCTGTCATCCTAGCTACTCAGGCTGAGGTGGGAGAATCACTTAAGCCCAGGAGTTTGAGGCAGCAGTGAGCCATGATTGCACCACTGCACTTCAGCCGGGGTGTCAGCGTGAGACCCTATCTCAAAAAAACAACACAAATAACTTTTCTACTCCAAAGTTTTGGATAGAAACCCCAACTTTGTCTATCCCCTTGAGCAGTGGATCTTTTCCATCATGACCTGTATTGAGTAAGGACGCATCTTCCAGTCGGTCATCCAAGCCAGAGACTGGGCCTCCTGTCAGATGCGTTCTTCTCCCTCAGTCCCTATGTTTATCAGGTTATCGAGTCTTATGCTGCTATCCCAAATCCTTTGTGGGATAAAGCTGGCTCTAAAATAATATTGTATGAATACATATATTTGTATAAATTGTTATATTTGCATA